TTCCACTATCTTGAAGTTGATAATTATCTTTTCCAACCATGTTTTTATTTATAGAATAAATATTTAAAATTATATGTAAAAATAAATATTTATTTATGGAGGTACTCCTCAACTCTAATTGCTGCTTCCTAATTTTTTTGCCTGTATATCCCTTAATATGTAGGTGTCCTGAAACATTGTATTAATTCTTCACACCCTTTCAAATCTGTACCTTGTGTGAGTTTTATCTCTAAAAGATGTGGTTAAACTGTGAAAATATTGTTGTTTAATCTTTCTCTGGTTTCTGCCTTTTCTGAGCTTTAGACTTATTATCCCAATCCCTATTACGCTTCTCAACATGATGCCCCACAGGCACCTAGAACCATCATCTGAAACTGAACTCATTGGTCCAGAAAAACCTGTTTCTCTCTTCTCTATTCCAGTTATGGCGTTACTTTCCACTCAGTTCAAACTGTAAACTTTGGAGTCATCCAGACCTTAACACACATATAGTAACTACTTTTAAAGTGTTCAATAAATACTGGGGGGGTGAATAAATGACTCCTTTTTCTTCATATCTCCTCTGCCCATATCCAACTGATCATCTAAACTTGATTCTTCTACTTAGTAAATACCTCTCATTTTCTCCCTCATGTTTGGCCCCAGTGTTCCTGCTTTTGTCCTTTCTCGCGTGGGGTCATTGCAGTAGTTTTATAACTTGACTGTCACTTTTGTTTCTTTCTTTCCTGTTTGTAATTCATACTTATACTATAATTATTCTAAAACACATATCTTCTGCTATTCAACTTTTAAAAAATCTTAACTTCCCACTGCTCCCTGGATAAATTCTAAAAGTTGTTGCATAGCAAATAATCTTGTTTTTGTATAAATTCTCCTCTATCTCTAGCCATCTGTCCCACCATTCTCAAAAATACCCCCTTATACTACTGCCACAGAGGAGCATTTGCACACTTTTTGTTCTTCCTGGAATATCTAATTTCCTCTTCCCTAAATCTCCAGCTCTTCAAGACCTAGCTCAGATGCCACCAACTTTGCAAAATTTTCTTTCCCAAGCACTCAAGGCAAAGCTGATAACTTCTTTTGTATTCCCATGGTGCCTCATACATACTTCCACTCTAGCATTTTTTTCATTCTAGCATTTTTCACATTTTACAGTGCTGTGTTTGTTTCCTACACTTATTTGTGACCTTTTTTAAAGAAAGAGGACCATTTCTTGCCATCCCCGCTCCCTTTATAGTGTCTAATAAATATATGTTGTTAATAAAATATCCATCTGTAAGTTAGTAGCTTGGAACTTGAAAGAAGCTTTCCTGTATAGTAAATGTTCTGGATGATGTTACGTTTCTCAGACAACCCATAAAAATCTGTTTAACTCATATTGCATCTGAAGTTTACCTGAAAACTTAAATCTTGTTCTACATATATCATGATTTTCTAAAGGAGATGGGTAGCAGTGATGGCTCCTGTGTGTTGATACTGGGGTGCTAGTGGAACTGGACTGAAAATCATGGTCTATCCTGGAGCTATGGGAAAGGGTAAATGGGTGGATGTGAGAAGTTAGACAAAGACTCTGGATTAAGAAAAAGAGGCTGGAAGACAGTAGTAATGAAAAACTGGTAGGATGAGGGAAAAAAAAGGTGTGACTTTTGAAGGAAAAAGAGTTAAATTAGAAGTGATGTCTTGGCCGGCCCCGTGGCTTAGCGGTTAAGTGCGCACGCTCCACTGCTGGCAGCCCGTGTTCAGATCCCGGGCGCGCACCGACGCACCGCTTCTCCGGCCACGCTGAGGCCGCGTCCCACATACAGCAACTAGAAGGACGTGCAGCTATGACACACAACTATCTACTGGGGCTTTGGGGGAAAAATAAATAAATAAATAAAATTAAAGAAAAAAAAAAAGTGATGTCTTGCAGGGAGAAAAGACCTAAGCAAGGATCCTGGGTGAAGAAAAAGGTGAAAATGAGGAATTAAGGAAGCTGAGGATGGAAATGGGGGTGGGGGAATAATTTTAGTAACCTCTGTTATGAATTAACATATTTCAGTTGGCCTGTTATCAAATTTAAAATAAATTAACACAGTTACTGGCTTTCATAATTTTTTTCTTCTCATACAACTGCTGTTCTTTCAGAGTCTAATTTATGTAATTGTTAATAATGTTTTCTTTCTTTCTTTTTTTTTTTGGTGAGGAAGATCGGCCCTGAGCTAACATCCGTTGCCAGTCTTCCTCTTTTTTGCTGTGGAAGATTAGCCCTCAGCTAACATTTGTGCCCATCTTCCTCTATTTTGTATATAGGATGCCACCACAGCATGGCTTGACGAGTAGTGCGTAGGTCCATGCCTGGGATCCAAACCTGCGAATCCCAGGCCCCCAAAGCGGAGCGTGCGAACTTAAACACTGTGCCACCAGGCTGGCCCCAATAATGTTTTCTTAATATTTAGACTTTGGATATAGGTGATTTTAAAAATTCTTTGTGTGGATTTTAAATAGTTTTACAGTTTAACGTATTTTGTAGATATGTATTCATTGTTGGTTAAAATTCACCCTTGAACTTGAGTATTGAGTCAAAATTTGCCAATCTGATAAGCAAAAAACGTACCTTTTAAAATTTGCATGTATTAGAAGACTGGGAATGTTGGACATATCTTCATATGCTAATTGGCCTTTCGTATTTCATTTGTGGATTGCCTTTTGTTAGGCTTTCCTATTTTTCTGAGGGGCTATCTTTTTTTTTTTCGTGTGGAAGTGTTGTCTATATTAAGAATGTCAACCAGTTTTCATAAGAGTACGTTTATGTGTGTGTGTTGAGAGAGTAAGAGCATGAGCAAGTACAAGGATGTTTTCTCTATTTCTCATGTCTTTAGCTTCATTTAAGAGTTTTTGTCCCCACCCCTGCCCTCCACATGGAAGTTGAATAATCATATACCTGTTAGAGTTTTCCTTTAAGGTTTCTACTTTTACATTATGCTTTAAAAGACTTGTCCAACACTAGATTATGAAATGACTTACCTTTATGTACTTCTAACACTTTTAGAAGCAATTGCCTTTTATATATTTAGCTTATAATTCTCTCACGGTGTTGTCCGTAGATGTTTAAATTTCTAGTCCCAGTCATGTTTCAATGCTTGTGCTTGACTGTCATATCGTCAGAATATACCCATTTAAGATAGTGATCTGAAAACCTTCTAATTCTGACTCTGTTTCTATTTTAATATTTATAGCTACATTTAAAATTAATATTATATAGCCGAGGTTGTAAATGTTCAGTCTTTCAGAATTTATGAGGCAGTCATCTTATCACTCACCTATTTCTTTTTGAATGCCAAATAAAAAGGAAAAAACTGTAAAATAAGAATGACCTTTAAAAGTAAGTGAATTAATGAAACTTCCATTAGTGCTTCTGCAGGAAGTGAATAGAACAACGCATGGGCCGGCCCTGTGGCTTTGTGGTTAAGTGCGCGCGCTGCAATGCTGGTGGCCCGGGTTTGGATCCTGGGTGCGCATCGAGGCACCACTTCTCCGTCCATCCTGAGGCCGAGTCCCACATACAGCAACTAGAAGGATGTGCAGCTACGACATACAACTATCCACTGGGGCTTTGGGGGGAAAAAAAAAAAAAAAAAAAAACTTTAAAAAAAAAAAAAAAAAAGAACAACGCAGATTTTGTAATATTAGTAAACCGACTATCTGCAAGTCACGTTGGTAGGCTGTTCAGTGTGTAAGAGATGAGTAGCTCTTGCTTTTAAGAAGTATATTACCAGTACTTTGGGGGTAGGGAGGAAATTAGGCCAGTAAGCAAAAAACAAGATACGAAATGGAATAAGGTAAGAGTTTCATGCAAAAATCTCCCCAAAAGTACATTGGAGGTTTTAAGGAAAAAGATATTTTACCAACTTTAGGAAAGCCTGAATGGAAAAGTAACATTTGTGATGACCATCAGTGAATGGATAAATTTTACCTGGTAGAGATGTGAGGAGAGTATTATGGACAGAGACACTTTTAGGAGGAAAAAACCCCACAAAAATGGGAAAGCAGAGGGCGTATGTATTGGGGGAACAGGAATTTTTTTCTTACATGCAAAACTATGAGGAAATAAATCGTAGGAGATAAAGTTGGAAAGATAGATTGGGGTCAGATTTGGCAAGCATTGAGGGGTGTGTCTTGATAGGGAAGGGAAAAGATATAGAGCCACGCTGTCCTATATGATAGCCGGTAGCCACATGCAGCTATTGAGCACTTGAAAAGTGCCTGGTCCGAAGATCTACTGTAAGTTTAAGATACACACCAGATTTCTAAGGCTTAGTACAAAAAGAATATAAAACAACTCATTAAAAATTTTTATATTGATAATGTGTTGAAATAATTATATTTTAGATGTATTGAGTTAAATAAAATATATTATTAAAATTAATTTTACCTGTTTATTTTTATATTTTTTAATGTGGTTACTAGAATATTTAAAATTATATATGTGACTCAGATTATATTTCTATTACATAGTGCTGGTGTAGATAGAAGGAATATAACCAGTATTTACTAGTACCTACTGTGTGCCAGATATTGTCTAGAACTTGTAATAAGCTTAAGTTAATCCTCATGGAAAACCTTAAGAGGTAGGTGATATTATCATCTTTCTTTTTCAAGTAACTGAGGTGCAGAGAGGTACAGTCACATACCTGAAATCACTCCCCTAGTAAGTGAGAAGTCAGGATTCGAACTTAGGTCTCTCTGGCTTCAGAGCCCATGGTTTTCCCAACACACTCTGGCATGTTGTCATTGGACCATTAAAGGTGGTGGAGCTGGAGAATGACATGATTGGGATGATGCTTTAGCACAATTGTAGTCAAGATAAACGAGGGGAAGAGACTTCATTTTCAGCTGTCTAGTTTTTTTTTTGGTGGTGTTAATGTCACTTTTTTGCAGGAGAAAAATGCCTTATTTAAAGTCAACTTTTGAATTGCATCTTTTTGAAGTATCCTTTATGTTAATTGCTTCTCAGAATATTTGCCTTATCATCTTTGTAGATTTGATAATGGGCTGCATTAAAAGTAAAGAGAACAAAAGTCCAACCATTAAATATAGACCAGAAAACACTCCAGAACCTGTCAGTACAAGTGTCAGCAATTATGGAGCAGAACACACTGCAGTGGCACCATCATCTGCAGCAAAGGGAACATCTGTTAATTTTAGCAGTCTTTCCATGACACCATTTGGAGGATCCTCAGGAGTGACACCTTTTGGAGGAGCATCTTCCTCATTCTCAGTGGTGCCAAGTTCATATCCTGCTGGTTTAACAGGTGAGATTTAAATGGACACTTCTGTTGTCGGTTTGAGAACGTGACCTTGGGCAATACATACATAAGGTTTGCCTGCTGTAAGAAAAATAACTTACTGGGGGACTTTATTAAAATAAGTTTATGTGAAAATTAATGTCTATCATAAAAATTAAAGTTTTATTGGATACATGTATATTGTTTTGAGAAATCTGGTGATAACTGGTGATTATGTACTGAGTTACACCGTTAGTTATTTCATTAATTCGTTTTTCAAATAATTATTGAATACATACTGTGTGGCGGGCACTGGGGATATAAAGATTAAAAACATATACCCCTCCCTCAAGAATGTTGCAACTTCTCAGGATTGTAAAGTAGTATCCACTATTAAAGTATTATAGTAGTTACTTAATAAATGTTAATTAAATGGCAATTTAGCGATAATAGTTTTTCTATTAGATATGTACTGATTTAAAAAAGAAAAATCCTGAGGTTCAGAGTTTAAATGATTTTTCTTTCAGAGTCACAGATAATAAGCAGGAGAGCCCAGATTTAATGTCCTGTTCCAGGATTCCATTTGTTATATTATGATATCCTTTCAGAGAGCAGCCAAAAGTGACAGCTGACAACCTTTCAGGGAGCCAGAGATGCTCTAAAAAAGTAGTCAGAAACTTCAAAAAAGAGAATTCTTTTGTGAAGGGTCCCATGTTAGGATGCTTTTCCCTTGAGGAACAAAACACAACTGGCTTAACAAGGTAGGGTAAGCTCCAGGATTCCTTGATACTGCAGTTCCTTGATGTCATCAAGGACTCAGGCTTCTGTGATCTCTCTCCTGCAGCCCTTGGAGTGTCCACTTTATCCTTAGGCTTGGCAAAACAGCTGCCAGCATCAAATTGAGCAACGTGTGTCCGTACTAACAACCAACCAGTGGGGGCAAAAGAGGAATCTCATCTGCTAGCATGGACTGTAAATTTGTCCCTTCAGTCTGCTCACCTCTGGACCGATAATAGTGGTCAGAGGAATCATACACTAATTATATTAGATTGTTCGTTTGGGCAGTTAATGAACATCAAAGGGTCAATTACAATCTTAATTCCAACCCCCTAACTCTAAATACTTCAGTGATAGATGGCCATGATGGTATTTCTCAGTCATCAGCAAAAGTTTAAATTATTTTCAGGATTATATGTTTGGGAAAGATAGTAATCCAAAATGATTAAAGTAAATGTTGATACTTAAAGACATACTTTAATTACCTAAAGCAGTATATTTATGTGAAATAGTCCATTCATGGGTATTCATTTATTAACAAATATGGAGTGTCTGTGTGCCAGGTATAGAGTTGTGAGCAAGAAAAACAAGGTTTCAGCCCTAAAAAAGTTTAGATAATAATGAGGGTTGGACAAAAATTATATAAACAACCAAACAGGATGATTAATGGTTCTTAAATGCTATGAAGGAACTAAACCAGAATGATTGGTGAAGACCCTTTAGATGATCAAGGAAAACCATCTTGAGAAGAAATCATTTGAGCTGAGGTTTGATTGATGAGAATGACCCAAACATGTACAGAAGTGGGAAAAGAGCTTTCTGGGGAGAGAGAATAAGAAGTGCAAAGTTTAGGAGGTATGGATGGACTTGGCAGTTTTGAGAACTAGTGAGGAGGCCAGTATAGGCAGAGGGTAGAATTGTAGGATATGGGATTGAAGAGTCAGGATTACTCAGGACCTCGTAGACTGATAAGAAGTTTCAAAGCCAGAAAGAAGCTACTGAAGAGATTTCAGTAAAGGATTTGCATGATTGAATTTCCTTTTTAAAAAACTTGCTCTGGCAGCTGTGTGGAGAATGGATGTAGGGAAGCTGGTATAGAAGTGGGTTAGAAGGCTACTACTCAGTAGTAGTTCCAGCAGTCCCAGTGAGAGATAACAAGGACTTGGATTAGGGTGGCAGCCTAATCCATGCAGTGGAAATGGAAAAGAAAGTAGAAAAGATACTGTAAAGGGAGAACTGACAGTGCTAGTAATGGACTTGGCTTGAGTACCTGATCAGCTGGTAGTGCCATTTGCTCAGTTAGGGAAGACTTGGGCCATACAGGTTAGAGGGGAAAAATCAGCACCTTTGTTTTATACCTAATAAGTTTTAAACGCTTGTTAGACATTCAAGTAGAGATGTCAAATAGGTAGTTAATATATGACTGGAACTCAGGGGAGAAGCCAGATAAATGAGATAATCTGTTCTATTCTTTCTTTAGTTTGCAGATAATAGTTTGGCTGTGTAAGTGTGCTAATTTCTTAAGCATCTGCACACAATGCTATGTATGACACAGTTATTTTTGGAATTTATAATTAATATCAGCCATAACATTTAATTTCTAAGAAAAATATGCTATTTTTATCTTCATGTTAAATATAATACATAAATATAATAATTAATCTTACTAAAACCCTAGTTATTACTCCTAATTAATTTTAAGGATGGAAATGTTCACCCATTGTTTATAAGAAATTGAGACGATCAGTGCCAGTAGTTTATAGTACTTGCTAATGCTTTTTCTGCCAAAGAATTGATGTGAACTTTGTCTTTTCAAGCCAGAGATATTGATTGTTACTATGAATCAAAATTAAATTTGTTTCTCTGGGTCTATAGAATTTTAGAATTTGTAGAGTACAGTAGTTTCATGGAAGGTCTTAAGAGAGCATCCTATTAAGTTGAAAACTCCAGCTGCCCAAATCTCCAACTTTTGAAAATAGATTCCGGAGACTAGGGGAAAAACTATGCTTAAGCTTGTTTGCTGGCAGTGGTTTTTTGTTTCTCTTTTACTAATTTACCTCGGTCTTTTTTTCCTCTAACAGGTGGTGTTACTATTTTTGTGGCCTTATATGATTATGAAGCTAGAACTACAGAAGACCTTTCATTTAAGAAGGGTGAAAGATTTCAAATAATTAACAATACGTAAGTGTTGTGATTATTTTGTGAGGGAGAAATACCGACAGAAACCTAGTCTTGACACTGAAACCACTGAGCTAGTGGATGATTCAGAAATGACAGGGGCGGGGCGTGGGTCTCTGCCCACTGGGTTGGACAATGCATTTGGTTTCTTTAGACACATGGCATAATACTACTGCTGTAGCCAGACATTATGACTTCTACAAATTGTGCCACTGTTGTTCTACCATGAACAGTAGAGATTTAAGAATGAAGATTAAGGGAGTATGTGTAAGAAATATATATATATTACTTAAAAAAAGAAGTCTTTATAAAGAGAATACTATGTTCCCATTTATCTAAGCACCAGATGATTTAAACATCTTACCGCTTTCTCTTAAAGGAAAAAGCCTAGGTAAGGAACCTCTGCAGTTCCAAACTGACCAAATTAAGTTGTTTTTTCCTCATATGACTCTTAGACTTTTCGTCATTTAGTGGCCCACCATAGAAATAGAAAATTCAATGCTTGTTATGGAAAATAGCTCTCATAATTTCTTTAGCAGGCATAGCAACCACTTTATAACTTCTCAAAATATGTATTTATGGTCTCTTTGCTTCCAGTTATGTTTTCTTCCTTCCTGTTCTCATTTGCTACCAGTTACTATTCCAGAACATAAAATATGATCATGTCTGCTTTAAAATCCTTCAATAGCTACCAGTTGCTGTCAACATAAAAGGAAACAGTAGTAACAGTAGGCGTCATTCATTGAGCTTCTTCCCCTTCTCACTCCACTGCCTAGCCATACTGAATTACTTGCAGTTTTCTGACTGCGCTGGGGTTTCTCACCCTCTCCATACACATATGATTTCTTTTTTCTGGAATGTGACTTCTTGACTCTCCACTTTTTTCCTTTATCTGGCCAACACTACTCATCCTTCAAAATGTATATTACTAAGTCCTTTCTCAAGGAAGCCTTTCCTAACATTCTTCCTCTTCCACCTGGCCCAGTTCCCACCTCCTGCTGGACTAGGTGTCTCTCTTACATGTTCACATAGCACTCTGTGCAAACCTCAACCATAGCTGCCATCACAATTTTGAATTATAATTTATCACTTGCTTATCATTCTTTTAGACCAGTGGTTCTCAATCTGGGGCAGAATCGCCCAGGGGACCTTTGTCTGGAGCAATGTCTGGAGACATTTGTGGTTGTTATAGTCAGGGTGCTACTGTCATCTAGTGGGTAGAGACCAGGGATATTGTAGAACATCCTGCAAAGCACAGGACAGCCCCTTGTAACAAAGAATTATCCAGCCCAAAGTATCAATACTGCCGAGGTTGAGAAATCCTGCTCTAGACTGTGAGTTCCTTGAGGGTAAGGACTGTCTTTTTACCTCTGTTTCCAGCACACCCTATTGTAAAGTCTGTCACTTAAAAGATATTCAGTAAATGTTTGCATGCATCAGTGAATGGTTAGCAGGATCAAATGCAAAGTTTTCAATTTGTGTATATGAAAGTACTTAATATATACTAGGAAACTGCAAGTGTATGAGTTTGTAAATATTTGAATTACCAAAGGATTTTCCATTTCATTTTCTAGAGAGCAAATTCACCTCAAGCATTTATAAAATTTCACTTTAGACAAAATATTTTAAATATTTCTGGTAAAACAAAACCTGCGTTTACTCTTTTGTGGAATCCGTATATCTCTTCCTCATTAGAGACTGGTAATATTCGCTCCTTTCCCATTAATTCGGGAAAAGTCAAGGCTTATGTATTACAAACTACATATAGTTCTCGTGTTCTGAATTGATTTTAGTCTTCTTTGGATATTTATAGATAACGTTTTTATAAATATACTTTATTCCAGGAATTAAATTTTTTATTGTTATTGCTTGTTGCTAATATTTTGGCTACAGGAGGTCTAGGGCATCCTGATTTTTTTTCCTAAAATGACTAAAAAGGAACGTTATAATTTTATGCACTGTTAAAAAGAAAAGCATTTGGCAAAAAAAACAAAGAATGAATTACTGACGCATGCTATGACATAAATGAACCTTGCAAAAATTATGCTAAGTGAAAGAAGCCAGTCAAAAAGATCACGATATATGATTCCATTTTTATGAAATGCCCACAGTAGGCATATCCATAGAAACAAAGTAGATTAGTGGCTTGTAGTGGTGGGAGGGGAAGAGGAGTGGGGAGTGACTTTTAATGGGTATGGGGTTTCTTTTTGGGGTGATGAAAATGTTCTAAAATTGATTGTGGTAACAGTTGCACAAGTCTGTGAATATATTAAAACCCACTAAATTGTACATCTTAAATGAGGGAATTTTATGACATGCAAATTATATCTCAATAAAGCTTTTAAAAAAGAAAACATTCAGTCAAAACTGAGTAAATTGAAAGATTTACCTCCCAAATTGTTTTATTCAGTATAGTTTATTGTCTTAGGTTGAAAGAGTTATATAAAAAGAGATCTTGTAAGTAAAATTAAAGTGGTTGGTTTTTTGGGTTTTTTTGGTTTGGAGCAGAAATATGAAATTATGCTTTTGTTAGCCTTATTCCCTTAATTGATGTAAGCTATTTTTCAATATTACTCTTTGAATTTAATTCTTGATCAGATGAATGCATAAATAAAAAATGAAAGTAATACTTCTTGTCTGCCTTAGATACAAGACAACACTGCAATAGATTGCTTTTTGAGCAATAGTCTGCCTTGTGGTGATTGTTTTATGTGTTGCAGGGAAGGAGACTGGTGGGAAGCAAGATCAATTGCTACAGGAAAGAATGGCTATATCCCCAGCAATTATGTAGCCCCTGCAGACTCCATTCAAGCAGAAGAGTATGGCACTACTTCATATTTTATTAATTATTTTGATTTTAAAAATGTTTTAATGTACATTCTACTTAGCCACATCTTTACACTCACACAATTACATACCAGTCTTAATACAGCTAATGTATCATATTAATAGGAGATGTTACTTGAAAATTAATAATTAATGCCATAGTATTCACTTATAGTAGGATCAGAATGAATCTGCATTAATAATACAGCGTTATACCTAGTCTCTATCCTTTATTTTTTCACTTTAAAAAAATTATATTAACTCTTTTAATCTGCAGACTATCTCACTTCAAAAATTTACCCTCCAGGGGCCGGTCCGGTGGCATAGTGGTTAAGTTCGTGCACTCCGCCTCTAGCAGCCCGGGGTTCGCAGGTTCGGATCCCAGGCGCGTACCTACACACCGCTCATCAAGCCACACTGTGGCAGGCGTCTCACGTAAAGTAGAGGAAGATGGGCACGGATGTTAGCCCAGGGCCAATCTTCCTCAGCAAAAAAGAGGAGGATTGGCAACAGGTGTGAGCTCAGGGCTAATCTTCCTCACCAAAAAGAAAAAGAAAAATTTACCCTCAGGCCAGCCCAGTGGCGTAGTGGTTAGGTTCACGTGCTCCGCTTCAGTGGCCTGGGGTTCGTGGGTTCCGATCCCTGGCATGGACCTGTGCACTGCTTATCAAGCCATGCTGTGGCTGAGTCCCACATACAAAAAAAATAGAGGAACATGGACACGGATGTTAACTCAGAGCCAGTCTTCCACACACACAAACTATTTACCCTCGGTTGATAGTATTGTATCAGTGTGAATTTCTTGACTTAGGTGTTTGCTCTGTGGTTATGTAGGAGAGTGTCCTTGTCTTTTAGGAAGACACACTGAAATTTTTTTGTTGTTGTTTATTTTTGGTGAGGAAGATTAGCCCTGAGCTAAGATCCATTGCCAAACCTCCTCTTTTTGCTGAGGAAGATTGGCCCTGGGCTAACATCCGTGCCCATCTTCCTCTGTTTTATATGGGATGCCGCCACAGCATGGCTTGACAAGCGGTGCGTCGGTCCGCACCCGGGATCTGAACCTGCGCACCCTGGGCTGCCAAAGTGGAGTGCGTGAACTTAACCACTACACCACTGGGCCGGCCCCCACCCTGAAGTTTTTAGGGGTAATGATTCAGCATGTTTGCAACCTACTCAATCGATTTGGAAAAACGCACACACAGAGGGAAAGAGAGAATGTGACAGCAAAATATTAACAGTTGGGAAACCTGGGTGGAAGGTATGTAGGACTTCTCTGTACAATTTTTGCAACTTTTAAAAAGTTAAAGCTCGCCTTCAGTAACATATTACTTTTAGGTCAAACCAATTTTATCTGGGATCTGTAAATGCTACTTCGTTTTCCTATCACAACACTAAACACGCTGCCTTGCACATAGTAGGTGCTCTGTCAATGTTTGTTTGCTTTTATGAATGATAAATTTGTCTCCATGACTCTCTGTTCTGCTTTGGTACTTTGTTACTTTCTTTTTTATTCTTTTGTCTGTCTTCTCCACTATTCTGTGAGCTCCTCCACAGCAGAACTGTAATTTTTATTCACAAAACTGTATTAAATCAAGCCTACACTAATTTAGAGTTCCTGATCATTTGGATTTGGTTTACTTGCATCTTACTGAATACAGATGATCACACTTGCCAGAGAACCACTTCTGTTCTTCCTACTGTAGTCTTAATATTGCTGTCTGTCACTGACTGAAAGGCTCTGTGTGTCATTGTTGCCTTTCCTTCTCCATTTACTGTTCCTGTGACTGCTGAGCGGAGTTTAAAAGACATGTTGAGTAGTCAGTCCATGAAAGTACTATGACAGAGTACATTCTGACAGTGATACTTATAATATTCGTACTTAATAAAGAAAGATCCTTCATTGTGTTTTACTATATTTCTCAGCTGTATTCTATAGCTATTCTTTGTCATCCTCCCTATCCCACTCCATTCTTACTAATACTTAGGTGTAATTTTTCTGATCCTTACACCTGTCTAACTCAGAACACTATTCATTTTTTTCCAGATGGTATTTTGGCAAAATGGGGAGAAAAGATGCTGAAAGATTACTGCTGAATCCTGGGAATCAACGAGGTATTTTCTTAGTAAGAGAGAGTGAAACTACTAAAGGTATGAATATTGTTATATTAATATAATATAAGTATAAAAATTTTCTTGTGCAGTATTTTGAAAAAGATACAGTAAAAGTATTCATTTTCCCCCTTAGGTGCTTATTCCCTCTCTATTCGTGATTGGGATGAGGTAAGGGGTGACAATGTGAAACATTACAAAATTAGGAAACTTGACAACGGTGGATACTATATCACAACTAGAGCACAATTTGATACTCTGCAGAAATTGGTAAAACACTACACAGGTATGTGAATATTTCACATATTTCCTCATGTTCTATTTTATGAGGACAGAATCCATGTTCTTTATGTCTGTTAAGGATTAGCATGCTACTTTACACACAGTATGTGTTCAATAAATGTGTGTTGTATTCTAGTTTTAAAATGAGGAACAGGTAATACTTATTACCTGAATTGGGTTCTTGGATAATGTGCTAAAATTAGACTAGTATCATTTGAGTCCTTATATCTTACTGGCATACTGTTTACATTGGAGTTCCATTTCTTAACAGCTGAAGACCAAGATAGATTATGAAAGTAAATTTTAAAAAGCGTAAAAGTAAATATTTTGTTTAGGGACACTTATTAAGTAGGTATAACTAAACATTTAAAATAAAAAGCTGTATCAGATGTCCTTTTGGGTTACCTTCCTCTGCATGGGCTGGACCACATAAGACTTCTTAAAGTAGAAATCCAGTGAAATTTGATCTGAAGAGGCATTTTTCTTTTCCTGGAAAATTAACCTATAGCAACTATAGGTATTCTTCAGTCTCTCAAGAACCTTTGAAAGATATTCCGTATTAGAGTCTTGTGTCTCAAAGTGTAATTGCACTTGTTAGAATGTGGATTTGTGTGGTTACTTACTGAGAATGGGAGGAAACATACCTTATTTACAGTAAGAAACATTGTATAAGCAAGATTCACAAGTCAAACCACTATAAATTTGGGATTCCTTGTTTTTGTGTCTCCCTTATTTAAAAATCAATCCCCTAAATGAAGAAGTTTTTCCTTGATTTTCACTATATGTCTTACATTAGTGGTTATTAGAAATAACAGTGATAGCATTTTCTTTGGGAAGAAGTAAAGCACAGTAGGCAAAAGCAGGACTGTGGAGGCAGCCAGACCTAGAGTTTTAATCCCATCTCCATCACTTACTAACTGGGTGACCTTGAGAAAGTTGCTTAAGTTTTCCAAGCCTCATTTATATGAGATGTTTATCAAGTGCTGAATTAGTACAATAGCTGGGACATATGCATTCAATAAATAATAACTTTAAAAATGTATTAAACAAAATGTTTCACTTCTAATGTTTTGCTTCTTATATACAACTCTCTTTTTGTGCTCTTCGATTGAACATTGTTTTTTTTTTTATTTTCTACAATTTAAACTTTAAAAACATTGATATGCTATTTGTATCTTAATTTTTGTAATTAACTAATTTTACAGTATAGTTTATTCGTTTATCTAGAACATGCTGATGGTTTATGCCATAAGTTAACAACTGTGTGTCCAACTGTGAAACCCCAGACTCAAGGTCTAGCAAAAGATGCTTGGGAAATCCCTCGAGAATCTTTGCGACTAGAGGTTAAACTAGGACAAGGATGTTTTGGTGAAGTATGGATGGGTAAGAAGCCTGAACTTTTGTTATTTGTCATTGTTCAGCCATAGATTAAAATACCACAATTTATGATGAAATATGTTTAAATATTTAAGGTAACTGCTGTTCATTGAAGTTTGATCTAAAATCCCTTAAAATATAGATTAAAACAGTAAAATGTGTTGTTTCTCTAGGAACATGGAATGGAACCACAAAAGTAGCAATCAAAACACTAAAACCAGGTACAATGATGCCAGAAGCTTTTCTTCAAGAGGCTCAGATAATGAAAAAATTGAGACATGATAAACTTGTTCCACTATATGCTGTTGTTTCTGAAGAGCCAATTTATATTGTCACTGAATTTATGTCAAAAGGTATGTGTATATTTATATCTCTTAGGGTATTCATGTTGATAAATTTAAACAAGTCTTCTGTTTTAACAATGTCTGTTTTTATGCATACATATTTTTATTATGTAGTGTTTTCTAATTTAAGATTTTTATGTAGACATTTGACAAGAGGAAATCTAATACTGCATTTAATAGAGTATGATTAGCTCCAGTTATTCCAAAGGATAGTACAAATTTTAAAAGAAAAATTAGGCAGGCTGAATTTATTTTGTAAATAGATTTGACTAAAGGAAATGGAATAACTAGGGAAACAAGTATTTGTACAAATTGAACTAAAATAATACAATCAGAAAGATACATCTTTAGTACTAAAGCAAAGAAATCAGGTGAAGTTAAGGAAATTGATTTTATCTCATTTTAAGATAAGCATAATCTCCATAGTCAGGACTCCTAGAAACTTCTTTTTCTACTGCTGTCAACTGAAATTTCTCCATTCTCCCAAATCCCAGACCCCAAGTGGAATCCTCAGTAACAGAGATGGTTAGGGCCAGGATAAAGAGAAGGGAAGGCTGTTGCCCTTCACTCTTTTTCCCTTTGCTAATGATGCTTCAGAAGAGGAACCAGTAAGTCACCAAATATGCTAACAGGCCTGCTTTTTACCCATCTTGAATTTTATCTACTTTTTTTACTCCTAATGAATCACTAACCCATGGTTAAAGCCACTGATAATGTCTTCCCTCTTTAGTAGTCCATCTTGGCCAACAATGTAGTTCCACCTCGTGGTGACAGGGTGAACTACAAGCTATACACTTGATATAAGAATTCCCCCCACTCCCCAAAGGAACTGAGAAAACAAAAGTCAAGAACTTACATAGCCTATTAGTTGATAGCCAAAACATACCTGAAGCCCCAAAGTACATGGCACTTTTTGGAGGGAATCTCTGCTACAAACAACTGCCAAATAACACATTTCAGAAAGTGCACTGGATGAACTAGAAAGGGAAAGGAGAAGAGGGACACCGAGAAGGAAGTTAAATCAGGATACTGATAGCATAAGAATATAATGGAGGTAAAGTTAATGGTCCCTTTAGCTTTGTATGTTGATTTTAAGAGTTATTTAATTGAGGGAACATAGTAGAAGTCGATGTTATCAGATTGCTGGATTGGGATTATTTCTAGATGGGAGATTTACAATACAAAATCACAGAAGTCCTGTCTAGTTTTAAACTCTGTAATTCTCCATCTTGCTATTCAGGTACTTAGCAGTTGGCCCTCTGTAATCTGTCCAAACTCCTTGCCTCATGTGCTCTCACATAAACACACTTTTCTGGTCAGATGGGTCTTCTTGTTGCCCCTTATTTCTGTGATTTTGTTCATGTTATTTCCTTCACCTAGAATTTGGTTTCCCTATCTCTTGACCAGTCTATCAGCTATACTTCCTTCAGATTGTACTTAAATGAAGTGTCTGAAGCCTTCCATTAATGTCCCAGTCTGTCATGATCATTATATCCTCTGAAATGTGTATAATCAGATGACTCTTGAAATTATTAACAACCAAAATGTATTGAATGCTTCTAATATACAAAGCACTCTGCTAGTTATTATATCAAAGAAATAAAGCCCCCCAAGTAACTTACATTGAATTTGGAGAGAAAAGACCTAACCTGCTGAAGAGTTAATTTTCAGTATAAAGTTAAATAACAGTTCACTATAAACAAACAAACAAAATGCTGCAGGCCAAAGCATAATGAATTTCCGGGTGTTTGATCATTCAGTAAGTATGATAGAAATTGAGGAAGAGATCACACAGACTGAAATAAATTGAGAAAAATTAGTAGAAAAGACAAATCTTGAACTGCCATTTAAGGTTATGAAGGATATGGATGGGTGAAGAGAAGGATATGGGTATTTTTGCTGAGTTAAGAGGATATGAGGAAATGGGGAACAAAGTCATGGGTGGTAGAATGTATGGAAGGTAAATAGTTGAAATTAAGGCTAGAGAGGTATATGAGACAAACCTAAGGACACCTTTGAATTGATTTCACTATATTTATTGAGTACCTACTCTCTGCCAGGGTCATGAATGAGCTTCAGAGGGTCTATGAACTTCCTCTGAAGTTATGTGTCAATTTTTGCATACTTATCCATGTTTTTCTAGGAAGAGAGTGCATAGTTGTCATCAGATTCTCAAAATAATCCATGAACCAAAAAAGGTTAAGGACCACTGATATAGTCCAAAATGTTCTATGATAAATGGATGTAAGAAACATTGAGAGGTGGGAGGGGTGAAATTTGTTGTGATTGGTTAAAGATCAGAGAAAAGGAATTGTCAAAATGACAAATTCCAATCCTGGTTTTCTGTGGTCTGCAGCTTTTGCACTATTTTAGCAATTAATCTATTGTTTCACTGAATGATGTTCTACTTAGTGTATTGATCATGGCACCTTATCTAGATTCTCAATCCTAAACAAAGAACTGTCTTCTGCTGCTTTCTATATATGCTGCTTTGTCATGTAGAATATTTATATGACATCAATCTGTCTTGCAGGCTAAGAAGAAGTCTGTTGTCCTCTATTTAAGGACAGTTCCTTTACTGCATTCTTGATCCTTCCTTACATTTAAAAAGAAAACCCTCCCTTGGTCCCATCATCTGCTTTTCACCTACTGTTCTACCTTTTTGCTTCCCTTCACAGCCGAGGTTTTTTTTTTTTTCCATTTTTTTTTAATTGATGTTTTAATAGTTTTTAACATTGTGAAATTTTGGGTTGTACATTTTTGTTTGTCCATCACCAAATGTATGTCTCCCTTCACCCCTTGTGTGCACCCCCCACCCCCATTGCCCCTGATAACCACAATACAGTTTTCTCTGTCCCTAATACAGTTTTCTCTGTCCATGTGTTGGTTTATATTCCACATATGAGTGAGATCATACAGTGTTTGTCTTTCTCTTTCTGGCTTACTTCATTTAACATAATACCCTCCAGGCCCACCCATGTTGTTGCAAATGGGACGATTTTGTCTTTTTTTATGGCTGAGTAGTATTCCATTGTATATATATACCACGTCTTCTTGATCCAGTTGTCAGTCGAGGGACACTTAGGTTGCTTCCACTTCTTGGCTATGGTAAATAATGCTGCAGTGAACATAGGGGTGCATAAGCCTCTTTGGATTGTTGATTTCAGGTTCGTTGGATAGATTCCCAGTAGTGCGATAGGTGGATCATAGGGCATCTCTATTTTTAATTCTTTGAGGAATCTCCATACCGCTTTCCATAGAGGCTGCACCAGTTTGCATCCCACCAGCTGTGTATGAGGGTTCCTGTTTCTCCACATCCTCTCCAACATTTGTTGTTTTTTGTCTTGGTGATTATAGCCATTCTAACCGGCATGAGGTGATATCTTAGTGTTGTTTTGATTTGCATTTCCCTGATGATTAGTGATGTTGAACATCTTTTCATGTGCCTATTGGCCATCTGTATATCTTCTTTGGAGAAGTGTCTGCCCATTTTTTGATCGGGTGTTTGTTTTTTTGTTGTTCAGTTGTGTGAGTTCTTTATATATTATGGAGATCAACCCCTTGTCAGATATATGTTTTGCAAATATTCTCTCCCAGCTGGTGGGTTGTCTGTTCATCTTGATTCTGGTTTCGTTAGTCTTGTAGAAGCTCTTTAATCTGATAAAGTCCCAGTTGTTTATTTTTTCTTTAGTTTCCCTAGTCGGGGTAGGCATGTCATCTGAAAAGATTCCTTTATGACCAATGTAAAATAGTGTGTTGCCTATATTTTCTTCTATGAGTTTTATAGTTTCAGGTCTCACCTTCAGGTCTTTGATCCATTTTGAGTTAATTTTTGTGAAATGGCAATAGCAGATGGTCCACTTTCATTCTTTTGCATGTGGCTGTCCAGTTTTCCCAACACCATTTATCGAAGAGACTTTCCTTTCTCCATCGTATGTTCTTACCTCCTTTGTCGAAAATTAACTGTCTGTATATGTGTGGTTTTATTTCTGGGCTTTCTATTCTGTTCCATTGATCTGTGTGTCTGTTTTTGTACCAGTACCATGCTGTTTTGATTACTATTGCTTTGTAGTATGTTTTGAAGTCAAGGATTGTGATGCCTCCTGCTTTGTTCTTTTTTCTTAGGATTGCACAGCCAAGATTTTTTAAGAATAGGCAGTGCTCCTTGTCTCCACTTCCTAACCATCCGTTTACTGTTTTCTTAAAGCTATTCAAATTTATTTAATGTCAATAGTTTTCATAGAGCATTTTTTAAAATTATAGACTATTTCGAACATACAAAGAGTACCATAACACCCATGTCTCTGCCATCCAAATTTAACTGTTTACATTTTGCCATATTTGCTTCAGATCTTTCTGCTGGGGAAACAAAACATTAAAGATCCAATTGAATTCTTGTTTTTACCCCTCGTTGAGCCCATTCTCCTTTCAGCCCTCCTTTCAGGCTCCTTTGGGCCCATTTCCCTTCAGAGGTAACCTCAGTTTTGAATTTGGTGCTTAACCTTTCTCATTTGTGTTTTTCGTATTGGTATACTTTTACTAATATATTTACCTATTAAGAGTATTTGTATGTTTTTAACTTACATAAATGTAACTAGCTTTATTTTCATTCAACATTATGTTCTTAAGATTTATTCATATGAGAATAAGGGAATATCTAATTTGTATACTTCTAACTATTGAATGAGATTCTGTGTGAGTATACCATGGTTTATTCATTCCTTTCCCAATGACCGTTTAGGTTGCTTTTAGTTTGTCACTGTTACAGACTGTGCTACAGTGAATATTCTTGGGCTTGCCTTCTTTTGCTCATGTGCAGGAGTCTCTAATGCTTTGGATGGCAGCAGCATTAGCATCACCTGGAAACTTGTTAGAAATGCAAACTCTGGGAATGGGGCCCAGCAAGCTTCACTTCCCTACCCCCTTATGTAATAATAGTCCATTGAGTGTCATTGATCCCATTTATTAAATCCCTCTGGAAATTTTCCCCTTCTCCCCATTCCCACTGTCACTGCTAGACCTTAACATAATAGTTTCTCTTTCCTAGATTGTTGTAGGAAATTTAAACTTATTCCTCTGGTGCAGTTTTGGCCCGATTTTAGTCTTCATAGTACTGTGGGAGTGATTTCTTTTTCAACATAAATCTGATCATATTGCTTCTCAGCATAAAATGTCATATACACTCCATTCATGCATTGCCTTCTGTGCTCTGACTCTCCTTCTGCAGCCTCTTTCTCATCAGTTCCCATTTTTGAGCCCTGTATTCTTGCATAAGAAGGACTATTTTCAGTTCCCTGAACTTACTGTGCTGTTTCATGCATTACTGCCTTTGTTCTTGTTATTCTGTCTCCCTGGAATTTCCTGTCTGCCTCCGTTTCATCCTTTAACATGCATCTCCTCTGTGAAGCCATTTCTGACTTCTCCATAGAATCAACCATATCCATTGTGTCTCCACTGTAGTTTTTGCAATAACTTTTATAACATCTACTGTACAGTATTTATTTGTTTACAGATATTCTATAATTTCTAGATCTATATACTATACTTTTATACTAGATCAAGATCTTTTCACAGCCAGGGACCATGACTTATGTATCTTTGTATCTTCTATACCTTTTACAGTGCTTCACGTGTAGTAGACCCTCAGCAGATATTTGAATGGGCAGATAAATGGATACACACATTAACATGTTCCCCCTGGAGTAGACCGACCAGAAGAAATATAGATATTCTCTGACTTTTAATCTCTGTAAATCAGTCTAAGTCATGACTCTCCCTTGCTTCACAATCCTGTCAACGTGGAAAGGGCTTTCTTTGTTTTGTTTTGTTTTGATTTTACTTTTATTTTGGAATATTTTTAAGCTTATAGAAAAGTTGCAAAAATAATACAAAGAATTCCTGTATATGTTTCAGCCAGATTTGCCAATTGTTAACTAGATGTAGCTGTCAATATATGAAATATAAGGGGTTTTCTCTGAACCATTTGAGAGTATATTGCAGACATATTCCCTTTACCTCTAAATACTTCAATGTTTGTTTCCTTAAGACAAGAACATTGTCTTACATAACCACAGTACAATGATCAAATTTAGGAAATGTAATATGGATACAATTCCGTTATCTAATATCAGTCCATATTGAGATTTCACCAGTCGTCCCAATGATGTCCTTACTTATAGTAATTTTTCCTCTGATCCAGTATCCAATCCATGGTCGTGGATTTCTTTTAGTTGTCATTTCTCTTTGGTCTCCTTTAATCTGGAGCAGTCCCTCTGCCTTTCTTGTCTTTCATAACATTGTTATTTTTGAAGAGAATGGTACAGCCATTTTATAAAATCCACCTTAACTCAGGTTTATTTTCTCTTGATTAAATTCAGGTACATGGTAAATTTTTATCTAGTAATAGAAGAATAGCAACTAGACTTTTCCTTCTAGCCTTTCTCTCTGCTGTTATTCATAGTAGTTTGCTGTTCTGTGGTATCTTCTGCTAAAATTGAGAGAAGCTGGTTGGACTAACACTTCCATGTCAACTCAGCCATCCAGATTTAGTTTTAAGTACCCCCCAAGATATTCCCACTTGTCTGACCTCTTGATTCAGAGTGACTTAAAAATATATAAGTACCTAATACTACTTTTGGAATCAAAATTGGGACTGCTGCTCTTGATCAAAGCAAGGAGGGAATGCCTATAACCCGGTGAGATTATTGCATTTTCTCTTTTTTCATATGTTATTAGAAGTTTATAAAATTTCAGTTTAGAAACCTCTTCTTAACAATAATTATTCAGAAGTTCCAAAGCTGCAAAAAATATTAAAGAATGAAAAGCTGAAGTTTTGTATTGTGATGTAGTGATTTGTTTGGAGGTGGGGAATGTTTGTTTCAGCCCTAATTTAAGATGTGTTTATTTTCCATGAATGTCTTGCTGTCTCTGATAGGGAGCTTATTAGATTTCCTGAAGGAGGGAGATGGAAAGTATTTGAAGCTCCCACAACTGGTTGATATGGCTGCTCAGGTACTTGTGTATCTATACATGTATCAATTTGAATTGAAAGTGTACATTAAAAGTGTAAAATAATCTTAGTAGAATTACTCTTGTTTATGTAGTGAAACCATGGAGTTTTAGAGCTGGAAGGAACATTAGAGATAATTCAGTCTGATCTTCTTGTGGTACAGATAACGTAGTATCTGAAGACCGAGGTACCTAAAACTCATATAACTTATTAGTATTAGCACCAGGCATGTAACTCCCAGTACAGTGCTGTCCTGGAACATGTGGCCTTTTAGAAGCATGTGCATCCACAAATATAAAATTTATATGTATGTATATTTCAACAGATAAATTTTAAGACAATGAATGATTGCTATTCCAAAGAAAATATTGGAAATCTAAAGTATATGCTGAATTTGTTGTTTAAGATGGCAATATACATTTAAAATGGGATATTTTTATTCTTCTCATTTTTGTTTTTAAATATAAGTGAAAACTATAATAGTTTCTATTCAGGTATGTGGTAGGTGTTCAAGGGGCCTTTAGTTGGCTTTGGTTGACATAATGGTTTTAAAACTCCTCTCTCAGTGAGCATCCAGATGTCCATGGAATCTGGCAGTTTAGAAAAATTTTATACCAAGAAACTGTCCATGTGAGACTTTAGCATATGCCAAGCCTAGTCCATGCTCCTGAGTTCAGGGCTCTTAGACATTCTATGGTAGGGATTGGAAAACTGTTTTTGTAAAGGGTAACAGATAAATGTTTTAGGCTTTGTGGGCCATATACATCACTGTTGTTTTTTCTCCTCCTCTCCCTCCTCCTTCCCACTCTCCCACCTCCTCTTACTCCCCCTTCCTCCTCTACTTCTCCTTCCTTCCCTCTCCCCCTCCCTCTCCTCCTCCTCCTCCATTAGTGTTTTCTGTTTTTCCTATTGTCTGCTAGATTTTGCCCTGTTACCATCATCTCCTTTTGAGATATGATTTTTCAGTGATCTGACTTAACATTAACCAAAATTGTCCTCTCCCTCCTTCCCTTTGTCCCATATGTCTTTTTTTTCTTTCCAAGATTGCTGATGGTATGGCATATATTGAAAGGATGAACTATATTCACCGAGATCTTCGGGCTGCTAATATTCTTGTAGGAGAAAATCTTGTGTGCAAAATAGCGGATTTTGGTTTAGCGAGGTTAATTGAAGACAATGAATATACGGCAAGACAAGGTAAAATTACTTTTTAATGATTGTAACCTAATGTTCAATGGATTGTCTTACCATTCTTTTGACTATACAGGGTTCTACAGAATAATAATAGCTCTAGGTTTGCTCAGAAGAGTCATAGAAACATTGATTTTATTCATAAAATTATATACAATATGTGATAACCATGGCTTTCTGATAATTATTTCCCCCAAGGAAGAACTTAACTGGGTGTTCTTTGCATTATAAATATAGCAAGCAGTACACTCCTCTTTACACTTCTTTTGTCATGCCAACAAATAAACTTTTTTTTTTTTTAATAATTTTATTTATTTATTTATTTTACCCCAGAGCCCCAGTAGATAGTTGTATGTCATAGCTGCACGTCCTTCTAGTTGCTGTATGTGGGACACGGCCTCAGCATGGCCGGAGAAGTGGTGCGTCGGTGAGCACCCGGGATCCGAACCCGGGCCACCAGCAGCGGAGCGCGCGCACTTAACCGCTAAGCCACGGGGCCCGCCCCCAACAGATAAACATTTTAAAATTCTTTTTGTAACAAACTTCAGAACTATCCAGATTTTACTACACTAAGGATCAGAAAGGGTGTATTTGAAGCTAATACATTAAGAAATAGCATACAATTTTATAAAGGCTTTGGAAACCATTTCTACACCAGATTTACAATAATTCTTTATTATATATAAAATTGTGATAAATAAAAACATTTGGAAGATTGACATAGAGTGAAGAGAAGGGAGCTTGTAGAAATTAACATAGGTTGATTCTTCTGTTTGGCATCTTTCTCTCTAAACTCTCAGTACACACTTAATGAACACATTTATAATATATGCATGTGGAAAGAGTATGGGTTTTTTGAATCTCATTTTCATCTCTTATTAGCCCAGAGATTTCAACCAAGTTATCTAACCTTTTTGACTAAGCCTCAGTCTCCTCACTTATAAAGACTAGCTGGTGCTATATACTTTTCAAGACTGTTGTGAAACTTGAATGAAGTAATAGATGTATAGTGCTTGACATTACCTAACATGGTAGATGCTCAGTAAATATTAGAGCTTACATTTTAATGGGCAAGGTAGACCTGCATATAAATAACTATAAAGCAAGCTATTATGTAATTAATGTCAAAAGAATATATGGAAAATACTGTGGGAAAGCAGAAAGAACAGGAAAGACTTTACAGAGGCGATGACTTATCAGCAGGACCTTGAAGGAAAAGTGTAACTTTGACAAGCAGACATTGAGTGAGTAAGGTCCCATATAAATCACCACATAGGTTGTCCATCCTGCCTGGAACCTTCAGTGAGCCTCCACACCTACAAAACAGATTCCTTGGCATTCAGCATATCCTACTCTCTAGTCCCAGCTTACCTTTAACAGACATTTGAGTCCCTCTTTGTGCCAGATATGAGGGCACAGCTGTAGGAGGGCATGATTTCTGCTATCAAGGAGCTCACTAACTACTGTCTGAGACTAAATGCTAAATAGACTATTTCAGTACAATCTAATAAGCCCAATTTAAAGGTTAGTGAAGGTTTATTTAGTAGACATACCAAAAAAACCTTTTTCTCAGCTATCTACTATTACCATCATTTCATAAAAGAGCATTTTAACACTACACAAGTAGGAAGGACACAATCTCAGAAGACATACCTATAAATTAATAATTTTAGCTTTGTGAATTGATATATGATCCTTTTTCTCTTTTTTTCATCAGTATGACTTTTTGTCAGTGACCAGATTGGTACACAAACCACTGGGAACTGCTGCCTTAAACCACAGGTTCTCAACCAGGGGTGCTAGCACACCCCCAGGGGACATTTGGCAAAGTCTTGAGACATTTTTTGGTTGTTATGACTGGGAGGCTGCTACTCGCCTCTAGTGGGTAGAGGCGAGGCATACTGCTAAACATCCTACAACGTAGAAGCTAGCCCCCCACCAAATGAAGAATTCTCCAGCTCAAAATGCCAGTAGTGCCAGGCTGAGAAACCCTGCCTTCAACACAGTGCTTTCTTTTCAACCTCCTTACTTTTGGGCAGTTCTCTCCAGCTAGATATATCTTCCTATTCTGTATTCTTTATAAAAATTCTAACCATTCTTTAAGGCTTAACTTAGCTGCCACTTTTTTTTTTTTTTTTTTTTCTGAGGAAGACCGGCTCTGAGCTAACATCTATTCCCAATCCTCCTCCTTTTTTTTTTTTTTCCCCCCAAAGGCCCAGTAGATAGTTGTATGTCATAGTTGCACATCCTTCTAGTTGCTGTACGTGGGACGCGGCCTCAGCACAGCCGGAGAAGCGGTGCGTCGGTGCGTGCCTGGGATCCGAACCCGGGCCACCAGTAGCGGAGCGCGAGCACTTAACCGCTAAGCCACGGGGCCGGCCCGCTGCCACTTTTTTAATGAAACTTTTTGTGATTGTGCTAGTGAAAAATTTAATGAAACCTTTTGTGATTGTGCTGGCGAAAACTGATCTTCTGTTTGTCTGAACATCTAAAGAACGATTTTTTAACACTATATACATACATATATAAGTAACTTAAAGTATGTAAGACACCTATAATCTCATTTCCACTCTTATAAGCTTCACAAAGGCTATGTTTTTATGTCCCCCATAATGATTAGTATACTGTCTTGTGCATAAAAAGCATACACTAAATATTTGAGTACATTAATATAGGCTTTTAAAAAAGTATAGTAAAGTTTTCCAGAGAGATATGATAAAATAGAAAAGAGATTATGGTCAAAAACCAGTAGACATTAGAACCCAGCAGAATATGCCCTTATCAACCAACAGTTAGCTATAGCTACTAGGTGCTAGACTGACTTAAAAGTTAGAGATCCTATAATTTACATTTTTGGTTGCTTCTTATTAGAGTTTCTACCTCTATTTTCTTGAACGGTTTATCTCTCCACCAACAATTATCTTTTTTATGTTGTTGAGTATCTTATCAGGAAGAAATCTGATTTAATACAAATTTTAAATATTAAAGAAAATTTTCCCATGTATCTTATATTTTTGAAGAATTGGACATGATGACACATATAGTAGGGATACTGACAAAAGATTAGCCCTGCTTATGCCATATTTACATAAATAGATTTTGGGTTTTTTGGTTTCACTGGTGATTTTCAATAAGCCTTTAAAAAAATAAACATTTTATACAGACTCTTTTAGAAAATTCAGCAGATTGGAACAATTTCCAACTAATTTTATAAGGCCAGTATAATCTGACATAGAAAGCTGATGAGAATATTATAAAAAATAAAATCACAGAATAATTTCTTATCACCATACATGCAAAATTTCTTAACAAAATAGCAAATTGTATTCAGTGATATACAAAAAGTATAATACCTCATGATCAAATGAGAGTTCTCAATAATGAAAAACTGATTTTACATTTGAAAATTAATTTGCTGCATTAACAATATAAAGGTGAAAAGTATATGATCATCTCAGTAAATGCAGAAGAAAACGTTTGATAATATTCAACATGCATTTATAAGAAAAACTCATTAGGAATAAGAGCATACTTCCTCACTCTGATAAAGGGAATCTTTAAAAAGAAAGAAATTTATAATATCAGCACATAAAAAGGCATTAGAGGGGCCTGCCCGGTGGCGCAAGCGGTTGAGTGTGCGTGCTCCACTGTGGCAGCCTGGGGTTCGCCGGTTCGGATCCCGGGCGTGTACTGACGCACTGCTTGGCAAGCCATGCTGTGGCGGCATCCCATATAAAGTGGAGGAAGATGGGCACGGATGTTAGCCCAGGGCCAGTCTTCCTCAGCAAAAAAAAAAGAGGAGGATTGGCAGATGTTAGCACAGGGCTGATCTCCTCACAAAAAAAAAAGGCGTTAGATTAAAAGAAATCAGATTCAAACTGTATTTACTCATAATCTATTATTTTATTTATATGAAACCCCAAAATAAGCAAAATAATCCATGGTAATATAAATCAGAAAGTAGTTTTCTCAGGGGGTGGGGCTGCAGAGAAGGATGGGAAATTGATCGGAAAGAAATATTTGGGAACTTTCCACGATGATGGAACTGTTCTATATCTGATTTTGGAGGGTGGTAGATAGGTATACATGATTTCAAAACTCATCAAAATAAAAATGCAGGAAGTCTTTATTATAAGTAAATAGTACCATAAATATTAAAGAAAATATTAGATTTGCTTGTAATAGCTTATTTTTATGGCTGGGTTCTGAATTAGCCAATTAAATGGGCTTATTTCAATTTTGCTGGCCTTCTGCAGATATGACTCAGGATACTGGCTAATGATTTACTGTCTTGTTTGCAGTGTGCCTGGTGCATATTTAAGTACCTTTTTTTAAATTGAGGTAACACTGGTTTATAACATAAATTTCAGGTGTAGATCATTATATTTCGACTTCTGTGTGTAGACAAATAGATTTTTAAAAATTTACTTAAGCAAGACTGTCAATACTGTTTTAGGTGCAAAATTTCCAATCAAATGGACAGCTCCTGAGGCTGCACTATATGGTCGATTTACAATAAAATCTGATGTATGGTCATTTGGAATTCTGCAGACAGAACTGGTAACAAAAGGCAGAGTGCCATATCCAGGTAAGCTTGCGTTTCCTGAGCTCTCGGTTATCCCATCAGTGACTTGAACTCGAGTTTATTAGGAGGAAAAATGTAAGGGGGCAAAAAAGGCCTTTTTTTCTTTTGTCTCTGTCTCTGCCTCTCTTTTCTTCCTTCTTCCCCCCCAACCCCCGCCCTTTATTTTGGTATTGGATGGATAGGGAAAGCACATGAAGAGTGGCCCACATTCCCCTCAGCATTCTCCCTTAGGGCATTTTCCAAAAGGGCCTTTTATCTCAGTCATTCTCTCAGATAATAAGCATATCTTAAATATCCTGGGTCATCTTCCCCACACCCCCGACCTCCACTCCAGCCCCCAAGTAATTGAGGGTGTATGCTACCCTGTGATAAGAGAGGTGAGCTCCTGATGGGGGTGGGGAGAATTACAAAGGAATCCAAGAAAGGAACTGTGTAATACCTTGAAGAAATTCAAAAACAGGTGATATTAGATAAGGAAACTGTTTCAGGGAAGTGACTTGATATAGTTACATACATAGTATATTTGGCAAAATCAGGACTAGAACTCTCTGAATTCCTATTTGAAAGTTCTTTCAGACACTGTCTTGTCACTATTCCTCATTAGCCCAAGTTTGGTCATTATTAACTGTTAGTGGCTAGGGGATTTGTTCTGTTTTGCTAGTGGTGCTTGGCATCATTGTTTTTTCATGTTTGAATCTTGCCTGTTAGGTATGGTCAACCGTGAGGTGCTGGAACAGGTAGAACGAGGATATAGGATGCCTTGCCCCCAGGGCTGTCCAGAATCCCTGCATGAATTGATGAATCTTTGTTGGAAGAAGGACCCTGATGAAAGACCAACATTTGAATATATACAGTCCTTCCTGGAAGACTACTTCACTGCTACAGAGCCACAGTACCAGCCAGGAGAAAATTTATAATCCAAGTAGCCTATTTTATATGCACAAATCGCCAAAATGTAAAGAACTTGTATAGACTTGCTCATTTCTGTACAGGAATCAAAAGAAGAAAATCTTCACTCTGCATGGTTTTTAATGGTAAACTGGAATTCCAGATATGGTTGCACAAGACCACTTTTTTTTTTTTCCCCAAGTGTTAAACTCTAAAGTACCAATGATGAATTTTCCAACTTATTTCAGGGTCCAAAGAAAGTATAGCTAAGATATGGATGTCAGTGTGAGAGACAGCATGACAATGAAGAGCAGAAAGGCTACTATTTATAAATCACTTCCTTTCTTTTATTCCCCAAATTCAGAACTATTAAGAAAAAATTATCATAGACAAAACTTGGGAGATAAAAAGTTATACCATAATAAAATCTAAAATCAAGGAACTTCATGGGACCAAACAATTCCATTCCAGTTTTTAAGAATTTCTTGCATTCACTATTCTCAAAGGTTTTTTCTATGTTGAACAGTTAATATGCAGTCTTAATATATGCCTCCTATTGCATGGAAATGGGCCAAGTTTTTAGAAGCAAAAAGGAAAATAAACACTATCTAAAACTTAGTTAAATGTTAGACAACAGCAGTGGAATTTGAAAGTATAATGCACTGTGTTAATACTCAAACTCATGGAACTGGAAAGTAGAAAAGAAATTTTTCACTTTAATCATTTTCTGAATAGCTCAGTTTAGAATAATGAAGGTAACTAGAAAGTGAGTTAATTTTTTATAAGGTTGCATTGATTTTTTTCAAAAATGCAATATATAATTAAAATTGTACTATCCAATCCAAGGGGAAATCTTTTAATCTTTAGACAGCATGAAAAAATAAGACCCAGCATTTAAACAGTCCTTTTTAAAAATATACTGGTACACTGTGAGATATTGCTAATATTTACTTACGGTGATGGGTGCCACAAATATAAAATATCACTAGATCAGGGACTTGAATGCACTTTTGCTTACTGAATATAGACGGACAGAGAGGAAAATGTATTTAAAAGAAATATGAGAAAAGAAAATGTGAAAGTTTTACAGATAGAGGGATGGAATGTTATGTTTAATGTTTATGTTATGGAGTGACAAAATGGCTTTGCTGGCACTCAAAGCTCCTCACTTATCTATTTTCTGAGATTTTAAGAGTTATAAGGTATGACTATAAAATTAATCTTTCTTAACATAAACACTAAATGAGTGTTATAGCCTCAAAATAGCTAAGTTAAGGCTTCCCACTAATTCCAGTGATAAAGCTTTTATGCAAAACATTTTTAGAACTCCAGTGTTCAAATTGTTTAAATCTACGTTCACTTTTTAAATATACTTAATGGTGATCATTTTTTCCCTTTTAGAATTCAGCTGATTTGAGGAGGAAAACTTATTCAGAATAATAACAGTGGTGAAAAGTGGGGACAGTTTTTTGCCCATTTTAAGGGCTGAAGTGAAACATACAAAATAAGACTGATTTTTATGACTAACTCAAAAAGAAATTCCAAAATATGAATTTGACTAATAGCATTACTGGTTTAATTGTCTAGCAAAAGTACTGACTCGTACAAAATAAAAGTCTGGTATTTATGTTTTAAATATTCTCTTTATTGTCACGCTTTAAGTAAAGCAATACACCAGGTCCCCATATTTTAGAATCATAATTTTTAACTACCATCACTTACTTCATTTAATCATTAAGTTTAAAATTCTGTGCCATGGTATCTATGTTGAAATTCAAACCATTTTATAATGTGACAGATGAACTTCATGCACATTGGCAATAGTTCTGGTACTAAAAATTGCAGTGGTTTCTTATGTTTACGTAACCTGCTTAGTATTGAATCCCTCTTCCGAGAGGATCTTCCTGAGACAACTGCCATCATCATTTACCCTTAACGTCTACAACCTGTGACATCAAATTTTTAAAGGGCTTCAGTGAACTATGGTATTATAATTTTTCTAAGCATTTAAAAAAGAATAACAAAATTATACGTTCATCTACTAATTCTGTTCAAAAAAATAAGCCAGGAAAAGTTGATGGTATGCATTAAGTTTTAACTGAATGGAGCAGTTCCTTAGTTGTATAGTAAGGAAATAAAACACTAACTTAATGAGTATTCAGATTAAATGGTTATGTTTTTTAGATTGCCAAGAAAAATAAACAATTTTGTACATCTGAAGATTTTTTCCAACAGCTTTTCATCTTCAATATCTTAATGTGGAACTTAACCCTTACCAAAAAAGGAAGTTGTAAAAACAACTTTCTAGCACAAACACTTTTTTTAATGAATAATGGTAGCCTAAAACTTAATATTTTTATAAAGTATTATAATATTGTTTTGTGGATAATTGAAATAAAATTTCTCATTGAATGCACTCATTTATCTTTTTAGCCACTAATCATATTTTCTTTATTAAATTCAGAACATTAATGAACTCATTCTATGTGGTTAATTTTCATTGTCAGGTGAGTGACATTTTTACAAGTTTTTTTTTTTTTAATTATACCAGCAACTACAGTTAATGTATTGTACAGAGAAACGTAAGTGATTTGAGTGAAGCTGTTCACAGAGAATGTGTGTGGAGGATATAAAATGAAATGACCACTTTTGACCATAAGGGATTTAATTTTCTAAAAATGAAAAATATGTGAGCCTTATTTCTGTGTGTATTTTACACTTCTGTTATAAGTATAATGAAAATAAAGGTATACTAAATTATAAATGGCCAATCAAAAGCATTTATTATTTTCAATAAGGTAATAGTATTACCTTTTACTATTATATTATCTAGAATTATTAGCTTTGTTTTTCCCTGATTTCAGAAAAGTAACATTTAATCAACAAACACATCAGTTAGTAAACATTTATTAAATATTTTTATACAGTATAGTAATAATTCCTCAATTTAAGAATGTTTCCCTAGTTTGCTGTTTGCCTTTTAATTTTGCATGTAAGTTTTTGACATTTAAGTTGTACATTTGTATGTTGTCAATCTTTTTTATGCTTAAAAAGTCCTTTGCATCCTAAGATTAAATATTCATCTCATCTGTTATATTTTATGCTTTCCTTTTTTGTATTTCTCTTTAATTCATTTGGAGTTATTTGGGTATAAAATGTGACTTAAGAGTCGAGCATGATTTTTTCCCTATAGTTAATTTTCCCAGCACTGTTCACTGGTTAATCCATTCCCACCCCATTGGTTTGGGTTCTTTCCTTTATTATGCACATATCTACAACACATCTGTTTTGTCCCAATTAACTTGCCATTCTTCTGTCAACACAACATTTTTATTTACTAATCACTAGATAATGTATTTTAATAATTAAGAAGCAAGTTGTTTTTGCTATTCCTTTTTTTTTTAATCTTGGTATTCTTTCCTTTTTCTTTTTTTTTTTTTTTTTGAGGAAGATTGGCCCTGAGCTAACATCTGTTGCCAATCTTTCTCCTTTTCTTTTTTCTCCCCAAAGCCACAGTACATAGTTGTATATCCTAGTTGTAGGTCCTTCTAGTTCTTCTACATGGGGCCCTGCCTCAGCATGGCTTGATGAGCGGTGAGTAGTTCCACACCCAGGATCCAAACCAGCGAACCCCAGGCTGCCAAAGCAGAATGTGCAAACTTGACTGCTACACCACTGGGCCGGCCCCCTAAATCTCGGTATTCTGGCAAATTCTTGATGAACTTTAGACTTTATTTTTCATATTCCCAAAAAATTCAAGTGAGATTTTGGTTAGGGTGACATTATGCTTATAAGTTAATTTGGTAAGAATTAACATCTTTCAAATCAGTTTTCCCATTCCATTTATGCAAATCTTCATTTACATCTCTTAGTAAAGTTCTTCTCCAAGATTTTTCTCTATGGAGTTGGAAGATGAGTCTGATCTCTTGTCTGATTATAATGCTCTAAAGATGCCACCCCAGTGCTGCTGGAGGCCAGGTCCCCACATTGTTACAAAAAACCCCAACAATGCAGAGATCAGGAAGATTGTGTGCCCCAATAGCATTTATTTCCCTAAAATCAGCTCCTCCCCTGCACCTCTTCCAGTTTCTCCTTTTTTTGTTTAAATGACATCAAGTTGAGTTTTTGTCACCAGCAACCAGAGTCTTAATTAACATTCAAATTATCAATACAGAAAGGAATACCTCTGATTAAAATAAGCAACGCATGGCCGGTATCGTCCTTTTGCCCCTCCACATCCACAGACTGCTAGAAGGTCGACCTGTACTCATCAATGGGTTCCCGCACTCTCTGGATTTCTGTTGAGTTAAGCCCATGAGGAGCTCTAGCAGAAGATCGGAGGAAACCTGAAAGAAAGGTCAAGGTGTTTATTTCCCTGGTTCCCTCCCTGTGAGGTTGGGCTGGCTATGTCCTTCAACCAAAAGTTCCTTTCAATATGGCCTCCTCTCCTGGGGATTGATAACAGTTCCCATCCCTTATCTTTTCTGCCTTAGGGGTGCTCCTAACTTTGGTCACTGTGTTTCCCCTATCCTGCCCACCGCTTTATAAATATTCTTGATTTATCTTAGAGTGTGCCATCTATTTCCAGCTGGGACCCTGACTGCTACTCGTCATACTACTGATAGCTGTATCAGTAGAAAATAGGAAACTTGCATTATCACATCAGAGTGACGGTTTATATAAAACAGTAACATCTTCAGTACAATAGCAACATACAATATTGTATCAAATGTAAAATTACCATAAGACCTTATTAACTGTGGAGAGAACATACCAAATCTTTTTTTTAATTGTGGTATAATTGACATACATTATATTAGTTTCAGGTGTACAGTATAATGATTTCATAGTTCTATGTATTGCAAAATGATCACCACAATAAGTCTAGTTAACATCCATCACCATACATAGTTACTGAATTTTTTTCTTGTGATGAGAACTTTTAAGATCTATTCTCTTAGCAACTTTCAAATACACAATAAAGTATTATTAACTATAGTCACCATGCTATACATTACATCACCTGATTTGTTTATTTTATAACTGGGGGCCGGCCCTGTGGCTTAGCGGTTAAGTGCTTGTGCTCCGCTGCTGGTGACCTGGGTTCGGATCCTGGGTGCGCACCTATGCACCGCTTCTCCGGCCATGCTGAGGCCGCGTCCCATATACAGCAACTATAAGGATGTGCAGCTATGACATACAACTATCTGCTGGGGCTTTGGGGGAAAAAATAAATAAATAAAATTATATTTTATAACTGGAAGTTTGTACCTTTTGACTCCACCCATTTGCCCCCCTACACACACACCTTTGGCAACCACCACTCTGTTCTTTCTCTAGATCTATGAGCTTGGTGGTTGTGTTTTGTTTTGTTTAACCTAAGGGTATCAGTTTTTGTTTTTGTTTTTTTTTTTAAGATTGGCCCTGTGCTAACATCTGTTGCCAATCTTTCTCTTTTTTCTTTTCTTCTCCCCAAAGCCCCAGTACACAGTTGTATATATCCTACTTGTAGAGTTGTAGCTCTTCTACGTGAGACACTGCCTCAGCATGGCTTGATGAGCAGTGAGTAGGTCCTCGCCCAGGATCCGAACTGGTGAACCCCAGGCCACCAAAGCAGAATGCACAAACTTAACTGCTATGCCACTGGGCTAGCCTGTTTTAGTTTTTTTGATTGATTCCACATATAAATGAGATCATATGGTACTTGTCTTTCTCTGACTTATCTCACTTAGCATAATGCCTCAAGGTCCATCAATGTTGTCACAAATGGCAAGATTTCCTTTTTTATGGCTGAATAATATTCCAGCTGTACATATACTACATTTTCTTTATCTATTAATCTGTTGAT